GAGAAGGCGAAGCAACCGACGGGCGCGACACATACAGCGCAAGACGAAGGCGGGATGCGCACAGCATCGGGCACGCAATTCGGCAACGACCGACAGCAAATCCGCACGGTCCTCGGCGAGGGGGGGGCTATCGGGCGCCTGTCGGCGATGAAGGGGCAGCTGGGGCGTTGGCGGCGCGCACAGGGGAGTGGGGGGAGGGGGGAGGGCTTCTCAGAAGCAGGCTGCTTCTTGAAAGGCGCTGGCCTTACATCTGTAGGTGAGGCCCGCGCCTTCTGAGAAGCAGGGGCGCTTCCAAGAAGCCCTCCCCCCTCCCCCCACCCCCTCTGCGCGTGCCTGAGGGTGGTCGATGCACCCCCCTAAAACAGGGCCAGGGTCGGGATAAATCGCTCCAGAGCGTTCCGGGGCGCTCTCAGAGCGTCCCGGAACGCTCTGGAGCGGCCGCGGCGCCTAATACATCCTCCAAACCCGCCGATTCTCAGAGATTTCGAATTATCCCGATCCGATGTTGTGCCGATCTTCGCGTCGTCTTATGAAGGCAGGCCAGGGCATCCGTCCATTGGGAGCTGGCCCGGGTCACCCTCGGCAAGGGCCAGACATAACCGACACTGTAATGCAAGCTCTCCTGGCTGCCAGTCGTGCCAGGTCGCTGGCCTGCGCGCGTCGTTTTATCCTCGCCGTTTTATCCTCGTCGCTGGCCGATGTTGTCCCGATCTTCGCGTCGTTTTATCCTCGTCGTCTGGTGTTCGGGTCACAGCAAGGGGTCTTCGGCGGCCGCTCGGGGGCTGATCCCGGGCAGCTCTGGAACGCCCTCGGAGAGGCGCCGCTGCTGGAGAGCATCCCGAGGCTGGGAGGAGGAGGGGGAGGGGGGGGAGGAGGGAGGAGGAGGGAGGAGGAGGAGGAGGAGGAGGAGGAGGAGGGGAGGGGGAGGAGGAGGATGAGGAGGAGGAGGAGGAGGAGGAGGAGGAGGAGGAGGAGGACATGACATCGAATAAAATTCCCTGAAGGGGTGAATGCACATCACTGGAAACGAAGGGGGGAAGACGGACACTCAGGAGTAGGCCGGACGACCAACTCGAGAGGTCCATCTAAACCCCACGAGCACGAGCATTAGCTCCGTGCTCCTTCAACCGAATTCGTTCGACAAGCGCAGCCATTCGCTGCTCATAGGAGGGGGGCGAGTCCGAGGCCGAATGCCGAGTCCGAGCAGTGGACGGGGCACGGGAGGTCCTGGGGGTCTCGTCGGAAAAAGCAAGCGACACAAGCGGCACAGTTTTGTCGAGCAGCGCCTGCACACGACAATTGGGGCACTTGCCCTGCCTTAGCCTCCCGAGGACCTCTGACCCCTCGTCGGCGGCTCGCAGCTTCGACCGAGCTGTCTAGCTCGTCGTTGGGAGGAGGAGGAGGGGGAGGAGGAGGAGGAGGAGGAGGAGGAGGAGGAGGGGGAGGAGGAGGAGGAGGAGGAGGAGGAGGAGGAGGAGGAGGGGGAGGAGGAGGAGGAGGAGGAGGAGGAGGAGGAGACTCCACACTTCAAACAAACAACATGCCGCGCGCGGTCCGCGGGCCTGCCGGAGTCGGGCCGAGACGGCCCTCCACCTTCGCGAGCCAGCGTCCCAGCCCAGGCGACGATGGTGTGACCCATGGGATTCGCACGCACCTTTTGCCGCACGGAAGGCAGGCCAGAGCTAGGATCGGGATAAATCGCTCCAGAGCGTTCCGGAGCGCTCTCAGAGCGCTCCGGAACGCTCTGGAGCGGCCGCGGCGCCCAATACATCCTCCAAACCCGCCGATTCTCAGAGATTTCGAATTATCCCGATCTGATTTTGTGCCGATCTTCGCGTCGTCTTATGAAGGCAGGCCAGGGCATCCGTCCATTGGGAGCTGGCCCGGGTCGCCCTCGGCAAGGGCCAGACATAACCGACACTGTAATGCAAGCTCTCCTGGCTGCCAGTCGTGCCAGGTCGCTGGC